GTCGCCTTCTCTATTAGGAGGACGACGTGCTAGTGGACTTCTCCATTGGAGAAGGCGACCAGATCCCTCTGGTCGCTTTCTCCACCGGAGAAGAGGATTGGTCGGTCGTCTTCTCCGGTTACCATATGATTTTTTTTTAAAAATTTTTGTACTTTTCGAAATTTTTATTTGTCAGAATCTTGAATGGCTGGTTATTCCAGGTGAATAATTAGTCACTGGGGTTATATGTCTCAAAATGATAAGTTTCAATGTGTAATTGTAATTTTGTAAAGTTCAAAGGCCTAATTGCCTTTTTAAAGAAAGTTCAAATGTTTATTTGACCCTTTTCTTAAAAAAAAAAAAAAAAAAAAAAAGCGAGGAATTTCATGTATAATGACTTACCAAATATATAATTCATTCATTTATTAAAATACCAAATCAAGATCCAATTACATAAATGTAAAAAAAAAAAATTGAAATTGACAGTTGTTATTTACTTATTGATTAAGATAACGTGACAATATATTATATCAATATTATCCCTGAAAAAAATTAAATTATTTCTATTTATGAAGTATAAATTTTATGACATGATGAGATCAATATATATTAAATATATATTAGGAATAATAAGGGTCAAATAGGTCATCAAACTGCACACAATAATTTAATTAGGCCTCTGAACCTAAAAAGTCAACAATTGGGTCCCTAAACTAAACAATTTCAAACAATTCTTCCAATTTAAAAGTTTCCAACAGGTCATCCTTCCAAATAAATTATTTTTTAAAAAACAAATTTTTAAAATTAATTATTAAAAAAAAAAAAAAAAACAGGACCTGCCGGAGACGACTGGTTTCTTCGTCTCCGGCCGGAGTATGTTTTTTTTTTTTTTTTTTTTTTTTAATTTAAAAATAATTATTTTTTAAAAAATAATTAATTTGAGAGGATGACGTGTTGGAAACCTTGAAATTGGAGAATTGTTTGAAATTGGTTAGTTTAGGGACCTAATTGTTGGTTTTTCGGTTCAGTGGCCTAATTGCATTATCGTGTGCAGTTCGATGGCCTATTTGACACTTATTCCTATATATTAAAACAATTAATTTGATTATTCATTCTCATTTCATTTCTATATCTAGGTTTTACATGATAGAGCAAATATAGTTGACAATTGTTATTCCTTCAATCTCAACCGTTGATTGATTGATAAAATAAAAATTAGATTGATCATACCAAGTGAATAATAAAAATTAGATTGTAAAGTTCAAGGGCCTAATCTTTTTTTTTTTTTTTTTTTTTGTATTTTGTATTTTTATTTTTTTGAGTACTATTAACTCTGTTACAATGCAGTATCTGTTCATAACTACTTAGTACTACGACTCTGTTATCGCCTCCACTGAAGCTTGAACCTATGACCAGGGCCGTTCCAATAAAAATAGGGGCCATGTGCGACATCGTAATTCAAGTCCATTTTCAACTATTTCATATATATAAATAATATATAGTTGTTCAATTGTATAAATACGTTGCACTACTCTAAAGGATCGAATCTCTTACTTTGCCACAACTATTTGCAATATCACCATAATCGGTGGTCTAGGCGGCCGACTAGGCCGCCTAAGTGCCACCTCGGCCTCCTAGGCGCCGACAAAACCGCCTAATCGGCCAATTAGCTATTATTTCATTCTTTTTAAATTAGTTATTTCACTCACAACGACATCATTTTGAGAGAAATAACCCTAAATTGTTCAAACTCATCTTTTTAAGTTAATATTTAATATTTTAGTATTAACTATTAAAGTATTAAATAGTTTATAATTATCAAGTTTTAAAAAAATTAAAAAATTAAAAAATTTTAAACAAATTTTTAAAAAATAAAATAAAAAATACATAAACAACGAGGTGCCGTAGACGCTAGGCTCCCCCGAGTGCTCGAGGATTGCCTAGCGATTTTTTCAATCATGTATATAAGTATACACTTTTTTTTATTCTTTTATTATTTTTTTTAACATTTGTGCTCTCAATTGAAAAAAAATTATATATATAACTCATATAATATATGTATATAAGTAATTTTTTTTCTTTTTATAATTGTGCCCCAAATTTGGGGGCCAATTGTAAAAAAAAAAAATAAATAAATAAATAAAAATTAATATATATACACATACTATACAGCAGGCAGCACTGCCTGGTGTATAGTATATGTATATATGTTTTAGTATATGTATATATGTTTTGTAATTGGGATATGGGGCCCCCAAATTATGGGGGCCCTGTGCAAGGTCCCTGGGCAAACATGCCCAGGGATGGCCCTGCCTATGACCTTTTAGGAGAGTCACTTCGTGTCACTAGACCACAAGGTCATTGACACGAATAGTAAGTTGATATATATATTTTTCATGTCAAGTATATAAGGGCAAAATTGATAGAATAGACTGCCAATTTTTATTTTTATTTTTTTGCCATTTCTTTATTGTGTATAACATATGTATATATGCAATATGTATGTATAGACACATAACCAATGATGAACTTGAGGCCCTAATCTTGAAATTAAAGTTAATATTTGTATGGAGACCAATTCTGTGCGATATAAATTTTAGTTTATATTTAGGGAATTTAACATTAAAATTACACTTGAATCGAATATGTATTGACTAATTAGAATGAAACAAATAATGGTACGTACACTAATAATAGTTATTGCAACCATAGGGTGTGATGAAATGAGTTGGTTTCGGATTTGCTACCTTTTAGGTTTTACCTGACATAAATATGATTAGTCTTAGTGTGTAGTTGCTAGTCTACTGGCTAAGAAAATCTGCCGTCAAACAAAAAAACAAAAAAAAACTATTGCAACCATGAAAGTTTGGATGAGAACAAGGTCTCTTCTAGTTTATCCAGAAGTCTTGGGTTTACCATCCTTGGGATCCTATTTAGCATGAATAGGATTAGTCTTATGATCAGAGGTCATGAGTTTACCACCCTTGGGATCCTACCTAACATGAACATGATTGGTTTTAGTGTGTGATTACTAGTTCACTGACTAAGGAAACCTATAGTTAGACCAAAAAGTAATAGTTATTGCAACCCATGAGGTATGGATGAGTCGATGAGATGAGTGATCTCTTCTAATTTAACCGAGAGGTCTCGAGTTTGTCACCTTTGAAGTCCTACCCAGTATGAATATAATTAGTCTCAGTGTGTAGTTGCTAGTCAACTAGTTGAGGAATCCTGCAGTTAAACAAAAAGTAATTGCTATAGCAATTCGGAACCCATAGGAGTGTGGATGGGATAGCGTGTCTCTTCCAGTTTAACCAACTTGAGTTTGTCACTCTTAAAATCCTACCTAGCATCAATAGGATTAGTCTTACTAAGAGGTTATTAGTTCATTGACGGAAGAAACCTATAGTTAGACCCAAAAAATAGCTATTATTACAACTCATGGAAGTGCAAACGACGTGCGTCTCTTCTAGTTTAACCAGAGGTTTTGGATTTGATACCCTTGAAATCCTACCCAATAGAAATAGAATTAGTCTCAGCGTGTGATTGCTAGTCGACTGGGCCTAGAAACATATAGTCAGACCAAAAAAATAATAGCTATTGCAACTCTTTTGCTCATATCTATCATGCATAATAATGATGCCAATTCCTGATCTGGAAACTAATGATCTCCTTGCTCCAAATTAAGAAAATGAACCATACAAAACTCATCCAAACCAAAGATTATCACAACCCATATCTCTCTTTTCAATTTGTTTCCTCTTATCATTATACACATTCTCTCATGCCTTTTGCAGAACATTAAACAGGACCAAACCAGCACTTAAATACACAGTATCTGTTTTCGATATGAGGATTGAAGCTGTTGTGCTAGGTGAAAGTGGGGGGCAAATGTATGGGCAGAGCAAAAACCAGGTAAGGAGAAACAGCCCCCGGCTTTCGGCCTTAAACGCGAGCAAGGAAACACGGCAGAAGAAAGCAGCTTCTGAGGGAGCATCTGAGAAGGAAGAATGCCATGGGGAGAAAAAGCAAGGGCAGTCCTCCAAGACAAGGGTAGGGGTCAAGAGAAAGTTCTCCAGCTTAGCAGCCAAACATGTTTCTGAGGTTGGGTTTAACAAAAAACCAGACAGTTTTATGTGCAAAGTTAGTGCAAGCTCAGTGTACCTTTCAAGTTTCTGTCCTTTTCCTATGATTCTGTGTTTTTCTCTTTGGTTGGCAGGGTAGTAGCAGCCGGCAGCAGCCCGGAGATCAGCCCACGAATAACGGTCAGTCTTTCGTTCGTTCATTTCTCAAAGACCAAAAATGTTTATGCACATTCTTGAAATCTCCACTATTTGCAACTGTCTTTCAGGTATACCAACAAAATTGCCAGAAAAACGCATACTCGAGCTGATTCTAGACATACTGCAAAGGTAGTTTACACAGAATAACCATATACAGATCGTGTTACAGATGTTTCTGTGTTTGACAATTCGCGTTTGGTTGACAGGAGAGATGCCTATGAAATATTCGCCGAGCCAGTAGACCCCAATGAGGTTTTAATCTTATTATAGACTTCAATTCAGTTCTTCACCACTACAAATTTTGACAATGTTTTTGTTTGTGAAGGTTAAGGATTACTATGAAATCATCAAAAACCCTATGGATTTTGGCACCATGAGGGCTAAACTTCATGAAGGGATGTATGAGAATCTTGAACAGTTTGAGGTATCAAGAATCTATCTGGTCTCCATCGTTTCGTCTTAACTAAAAGTCTAAACAGATAATCGGAACTTGGAATTTTTTTCATATGCAGCATGATGCATTCTTGATCCCAGATAATGCAATGAACTTCAACTCCCCTGGCACCATTTATTTCAGACAGGTATTTTGAGTTTCACTTCTTTATGCTAATATATATATATATGTTCTTGTATAACAGTTAGCTAAGAAGCTGCTCCGGGGTTTTGCAGGCTCGTGGCATATATGATCTTGCCAAGAAAATTTTCCATGTCCTGAAAACTGATCCTGAGAATTTTGAGATGGAGTTCGCAGGGACAAAACGAAGATCCATAAGGAAACTGCAAAACGAACCCAAGGAATCATCAAAAGCCCAGAAAGATGCCAAACCTGATAATATTGCTGCAAACAGTTCACTGTTCTGCCTGGGTTCTCCATCAACACTCGCGAGGAGCAGCAAAGGGAGCCCGCGATTTGGTGGTATGGTTTCCAGGGAACTGCGTTTACTTCAATTCTCCAGTTTTTCATTTCTCGAAGTGTTTCTGAATCCACTTCTTGGCCTCATTGTTTGGCTGCAGGTAATGGAGATGCTCCCAGGTCTCCTTCTGCTGAAGTTAGTCGTCGTTCTACATACACAAATTGGAAGTCCTCCCTCGAAAACGAGTGCCCCAAACCATCAATTCCGGTGAGTTTTCTCATCTGCAAATTGAAACATGTGCTCCATCTCAACTAAAAGCCGAAGCTGATAGTTAGGCTCTAATACCAAATTGAAGCATGTGCTCCATCTCAACTAAAAGCCTAAGCTTATAGTTGGATTGAGCATTAATAGCTATATACTCAACACTGCAGATTTTAGTCCTCCTTTCTTGCTGTGCACCAGAAAAGACCAAACTGATTGTGGGTTTTTCTCGTCTCTAGATTAACGAGCTGAACATAAGCTACAGAGAGAGCCTGACAAGATTCATGGAAGGCTTAGGACCGACAGCGATAAGGGTTGCCAACAGGAAACTACAAGCTCTCGAGGCGAACAATGCCCCAGTAATCCAGACACCATCATTTCAAGTTCCAACAGCCTATGCCACATTCCAAATGCCCTCCATTTCTTCAGCTGCCCCGGCCTCTGATCAGACCCTGCCTGATTCGCTAACCGGATTTGGCCCTCCCATGAATCTGCCCATCATTGCAGAAGAGGCCAACAAGCAGAAAAGCTCGAACAAGACTGCCCCGGGATCAGTTGTGCAGTACAAGAGGAACACCAGAAAAGCGTCTGAAGCAGAGAAGAGAGCTCAAAATCGAGGTAAAATTTGTGAAAAGCAGCCCGAAGATGCAGCATCCAAGAAGATGAGCAGCAATTCTAAGCAGCAGCCTGCAGGGTCATCAGTGATAGTGGACACCAGAAAACCAGATGACAGCAAATTCCGCCCAATCGTCTTGGCTCTCGAGCAATCCTCCCATGCCAATCCACCCCCCGAGCTGAAGACGAGGAACAGGAGAAGTACTAATAGTAATAATCCATCAACATTCCCCCCGAAATCTCACAACAAGTCCACCCCCGCCACGCCTTCCTGCAAGGCAGATAAAGGCGGCAGCAGCAGCAAGGCCGCCCTGCAGCCGCCTCCTGAAACACAGCCAACGCCGCCAAGCCTTCCATTGCTCTCGGGCTCGGCCTTCATGTTCAATATGCCATTCCTGAAAGCACAGCTAAACCAGATGAATAATCCATCTGGATCTGCTGCTGCTCACACATGGGACACAACACCCAGAATTGCTCCCACAGATTATCTCAGGTTTGGTAGTGTGAGTTCTAGTGCTCTGAACCTTGCCCCCCACCTAGATGAACATCAACAAATCCCACCACCACCAAGGCCTTGCCTTTACGGTAACAATACTACTGCTAACAATGCTCAATCATCTTCCTGGCAGTCCTTGGACCCTCCATTAGACTCTGATTTGTCCCTTCACCTATATAAGTAAATTGCATTTTGCATGCTATGAATTGAAAACAACATTCTTTTGAGGATTTATTGTTGGGTTCATGTTTCTTTGCATTTACAAATTTGGCCTACTATTTGCATTTGATAGGATTGGTATACTACTTCTTAACTGGTGTGTGCAGTACACGTGCAAGTTGTGTGCTTAACTACTTCTTAACTGGTGTGTGCAGTACACGTGCAAGTTGTGTGCAAATGATGCAAATGATGTGACGAGTTCTGATAAGCTATTGTTGTTATGTGGGCCTCAATACAAGTGTCTACATCAAGATTTTGTGTGCGAATACAAGTTAAGAATAGAAAATGAGAGTACATATAGCATTTTCCGCCTCTCTTGATGGACCTCACAAAAATTCACACTCATCGGACGGACCCAATTTTCTAAAACCTCTTCCTCCTTTCGTCCCCTTACTAATGGTCCCACCAAATAAAAAATGAATAAATTTCGAAGTTAATTTCATTTTAGTTTTAAATTTATAGGTGACAGTTCATTAAAAAAATCAAAATGTCCTTGTATTTAACGATATTTCAATAATTTTATTGGCGGAAGATAAAAATGATTATAATATTACAATCAAATAGAAATGTTCTGAAAAAGAATGACTAAAAGTAAACTGTCACTTATAAATATAAGACCAAAAATAGAATTAACTCTAAATTTCATTTTGTAAAAGATTAAATAGTTAATAATACTCACGTTAACAATTAAAAGAGTAAAATCAAGATTTGAAGTAAATATAGGAAAGGAAAACAATATATTTTGTCTAAAATAAAATAGAGTAAATAAAAAACGACCATATAACGGAATTTTGGAAGAGACAAGAGAGTAACTGTACTGAAAAGGAGGAGAGTTCGTTAAAAATGCGCGCTTTGCCAATTTGCCCCTCTCTCTCATTCTCTCTCTTTCTCTCTCTTTCTCTCTCTCTCGTGGCGAATGAGAAACGAATTCGAACGCGATCGTATTGATAGTGGTGGTTTACGGCCGCGGACGGTGGATTGCCGGTGGTTCTGTTGTCTCTGTGACTCCGTTTTTCTGCTTCCGAAGTGCAGCGATTGCGTGAGGATCGAATAGAATTGATTGATTCAAAAAAAAAAAAAAAAAAAATAGAAGAAGAAGAAGAAGAAGAAGAAGAAGAAAAAGCGGACGGAAAGGATGGCGTGCAGGCGTAGACACGGGATCACGAGGGCAGCCACATTCAAGGAAGAGATGTACCGGCCATCTATGGACGATGACGACGGCGAGTCGCTCTCCTCCGCGTCGCAGTCGCTGGCCGCTCAGGCCATTAGAGCCTCCGCCGCTCACCGAGACTCCTCCCTCTCCTCCGCTTACGCTCAGCAACCCCTCCGAGATCGACCTAAGGTTCTCCTTCTCTATCTCTGCTCATTTCTGCGCGTAAAATGTTCTGCAGCGTTTGTATCATCCACGATGCCTAATCGATTTTGCTTTCCGTAATTAAAGGACTTCTGTTTTCAGCATATCAATTTTCCCTAAATTATGAGTAGACTGATACAATTGTCATTTTTTAATACACTGAATTTGTCAATGACTGGTTTAATCATCGAGAGAGAGCAATGTCCGAAATGTGAATTAATATCGAAGGTGACGTTTGCTTTTATTAGGCGCTGCAGAATCAGGGAGGTCCTACCTATGACTATACATCGATGAAGAGTACAAATGAAGCAGGCGGTTTCTGGGGTGTTCTAGCTAGGAAAGCTAAAGCGATTCTCGATGATGATAACATGTCCAGGCAGTTTGAAACTCCAACAGTCAGTCCTCCAAAAGCCAGCCAGGTGATTATCAGGCTCCCCAAGCTTAATTTGTTACATAACTATGCATAAACCTCCTGATTCTACACATTGTAGTTGTGAAATGAAAATTTTCAAGTTTGGAAAAGGTACATTATATGTTTATGGATTGGCCATTGCTGCTTCTAATTGTGTACCCTTTGTTTCTTACTTCTCAGACTTCCCAATACCATGATTTCCATAAGCCATTTCAACCCTCTGATGGTAGAAAAATGGAGAATCCTGCAATTCGTAAGGGTTTGGATGCACTCACATCTTCACTTAACCAATTTGGTGGTAGCCTTGGAACTGCTTTTGAGGTACACCTGTCTCTTCAATTAAGTGCCTTTTGTTGTTTCTTCCTTTGTATTCTTCTTATTCATTTAATTCTCAGAATGATTCCATAAAGTATAGATTGGCTGAAGATCTTGGGTGGTTCTGACATGATTAAGTTGAATATACTAGTTCAATAAACATATCTTTATTTTACTTTTTAGGAGGGGCGTAATATTATTGAGAACAAGACTTCAGACATAATTCAAGAAACACGAAAAGTGCAGATCAGGAGAAAGGGGTCCGATCTCGATGAGGAAAATCAGGTCTATAGTGTACGTAGCCAGTGGCAGCAAGTTTCACCACAGCCAAGTCATCAGATGCAGATACAAACTAATCCAGAAGATCAACTCAAGGCATCTCGCGACGTAAGGTGCCAACTTGTGTGATAGGCATATTTTGGATTATGCCCCCATGATGATTTTGAATTTTCATTTGAGGGATTTCTGAAATTCTTAATCTAGCTGAAAAGTAATGAAACCACTTAAACCAAGATTAATTTCTGCAAGGAGCTCAAATTTGGTCAGTGTGGACCATTATCCAGGCTCCACTAAATAACATATACTAGCAATAATGATAATATAAACGTGACTGCAAGGATGGCCATGAAGGTAACCATGGCAAAAAAAAAGAGTCTTTTGCAGCATTTACATATTTGGTTTTAATTTGATTTTATTGTTTATTTGTATCTCCTTGCTGGTGAAGTGCATGTTTGTCCTTTGGTTGTGCCTGCAGGTGGCAATGGCAACAGCTGCCAAAGCTAAACTTCTTGTGCGAGAACTGAAAACAGTTAAAGCAGATCTGACATTTGCAAAACAACGGTGCTCCCAATTGGAAGATGAAAATAGGATCCTTCGAGAGGCTCGTGAAAAGGGAGGCAACCCTGCAGATGATGACATGGTAATCTCCTACATCTGTGTTTGTTTGTAAGCTTTGAAGAGTAATGTGGAGGTAGTTGTGTATTAAATTAAAATTTAAAGGGGAAAAGAAGAAAAAAGGTATTGAAGTTCACAGTAACAATGAGTAAATGACTAATGAGATAATGTACATCCAAAACTTCTTTCAAGTTTCACATCTTCCTAGCTACACTAAGGCAAGATGAAGTCAAGAAAGTTTATCTACCTAGTGTCCAGAAGTGCACAATAGAATGACCATGCTAGCTTTAGTGTGCAAAAACACAGTATCCATTCTCATATAACTTTGTCTTGTGCAGATACGCCTTCAACTTGAAACCTTACTAGCTGAGAAGGCTCGGTTAGCAAACGAGAATGCTGTGTATGCTCGGGAGAATCACTTCTTGAGAGAAATTGTTGAATACCACCAACTCACAATGCAAGATGTTGTGTATTTGGATGAAGGCATTGAAGAGGTGACAGAAGTTTACCCCATTCCAGGAGTCTCGGTGCTGTCTAGTTCCCCGCCATCGCCTGCATCCCCACGGTCACTACCTGATATTTCATCACTATCCACATGGACCACATCCTCCTCTGTGACCAACACGTTCCCAATAAGGAGAAGCTCTTCTGTGTCCAAGTTTCCAGTTCCACTTTCACCGCAAGTAGTAACAGATTTTCACAAGCTTGAAGCCCCACCAATTTTCAAAGCCGAAGGTTCAAGAAAAAATGACTAACTTATACCCTCTCCCTTTTTATTTGTTTCCCAGAAGCTACACTCACTTGTTATTCCCTTTCAGGGCTTTTTTTGTTCTTTTTAACTGGAAAAGTAGTAGGTTAAAAGAAAAGGTGTTTTTTGTGATTAATTAATTACTTTTCCCTGTATTATGTAAATTTTCATGCTTAGCTTTTTGGTTTAGTACTTTAATAAAAAGCAGAATGTTTGAGCAACTCTAGTTAAATTAGTCAGACTATTAATTTGGTAATTGCAATGTTACAAGTGAGGGCAGCCTATTGACTTTCTTAGTTTGAGACAATCAGCAATGAACAATGTTTTATTTTAAGTAGCGGCTGCAGGTTTCCCTCATCGCTAAAAACCTCTCTTACTCAAAAGAAATCAATTATTGATTGAAGTCTCTGACTGACTTGTAGCTGAACTGAAAGTGCAAACATTTTACTCCTGGGTACTTGAAAGAAACAGGTTTCTTCATTTAAAAAATAACTAAATTCTCTGAATCAATGGCATTGGAGAAGATGAATTCAAATTTATTCCTCGAGAAAAAGATGAATATTATTTGGAAATTTAGAAGTGGGGGCACTTAAAACAGTTCAGTGGGGTGTGGAGGAATGAAGGAAATGGTTGGTACAATTTGCAAGGCTTCTTTTATGTATACAATATATTATATATATGGAAAATGTGGTGTTTAATACATTGTCAGACCTTAGTAATTCTGTAACATCATACACCTTTTCAGTTACAAAACTATGAACAATGGCTAGAGTAGTTTGTATTACATCATTTTTGCAATTATATTTTCCGGCAGTAACAAATGAGAGAAGTGAATTGAGTGTTGAATCTTTTTGTGGATCAGGTTACCAGCAAGCAGAGCTGCTCTTGGGGAGGATTGCAATTTTGACAGCAGGAACCTCCTCCTCGTGTGTCAACAATGGTGGCTGATTTAGAATAACTGGAAAAACAGACTAGTTGATCCGTCCCCAAATGACTTGAGATCAGCCGGTTTTACTAAAGCCCTGCATAATGGGCATGTCCTTTCCCTCTCAAACCTGGAAATAAAATAGATTAAGTGATCCACTAGCGAATATTGACACAATAATACTCTCAAGGAACTATTTATCATGAAATTGCAACTATTTCCCGTACATTTTCTCCTCTTTTTTTTTCTGGGTAACGAGGAAAACCCGCAGCCACTACCAGAGGGTGTGCACTCTGTAAATCCCATCACGTCTTGTGGCCCTAGCTGGAAAAGGACCACAAGGAGGTAAAACTAACCTAAGTTGCCCAAAGCCAACCGGCTCAGACCAAGAAGGCCAATAGGCCACTCGCATTGGAAGTCGAGCTTGTAACCTTGTGGTTACCAAGTCAACAATCTGACAACTTGATTGGGGTTGCTCCCTTGGCATGCTAGTTTGAAGGAGAGGGCATTTTCTCTAGAAGAGCAAACAAGCAACAAAGCACGGGCTTTTTTTCCTCCTGGAACACCCAATATTGACAGGCAATATTAATCACATAACTCCATTGTTTCGACCTTCTAATGGCTTTTTTCCCCTCTAATTGGTGCTTAGGGTGTATAACATTAAGTTTAACTACTAGATAGGAACACAATCAATGATCAATCTGAATCTGGAAAGTGCACAAGCAAGTATAATATGTTGAATAGGGATAAACTAACCATTCAGACACACAATCTTCGCAAAATATGTGTTTACAGCGTAGCAAAATTGGTGCATGCATCTTTTCCTGGCAAATAGCGCACAAATCCCCTGCTGCAATCACCTGCAAAATATAGCATCTTCCTTTGAGATTAAATGTTTGATGATGGCTTCATCTACATATTGGACTATGTCACCTGGACTTGCATATCAATGTTGAATGCAAGGAGATGTTCAACACAATATACAAAATGTGTGGTAATTTTCAAATATATTTTGAGGTATCCAGATGCAGCACTCATGCCATGCCAGACATGGGACTATGGGAGTATTATGGTATAACGAAGGGTCCAGCTGTCCAGGCAACAGTTTTTGTAAACACAAAGTCCAAGGTTCAAATATATATAACTATTAACGTAACTGTAAGTTTCACACACTAAGCTTAAGTACACTCATATACAAAAGATTTGCAAATACTATTCTGCATTTTCTGGCATTTGGTATAAATAAAACTTTGGCAACAGAGAAAATTTTGCCAATGAACTAGCTTTGCAATACCTAGAGGAAGAGCCCTAATAAGACCACCTTGACATCATACAACTCAAAGCCTTTTCAGGTAAAGAGGGTGAAGAATTATTTTTTTAAAAATCCCATTACCTGTTCAGATGTTGCATAAGCTCCATAATGGATCTCTCTACGCGAGAGAGCCTTCAAAGCACTGAAAAATGATTGCACCTAACAGAGAGTAACAGATACCCAGGAAGGAGGACAAAATGTGGAAACAATTTAGATTAATGATGATGTCAAATTTTAAACTTAGAAAGAGATTACTGGTTATGTGGAAAAGCATACCTTCTCAACAACAGAAGTGAGCTTGAAAGTTAAATACAACCCAGTCATTAATGACGAAAAGAGACTTCCATATTCCTTGTTCAGAAAGAAACGGTACCAAACTGGAGCGGGCAGCAACACGCGATAGAGCAGCACAAGATACTCAACCAAAGTTAACATTTGTCCCTATAAACAAATAAGCATCCATTATTTTGTCATGGAACAGTATGAAAGGTAATGGGTCATTACTAGTGGCTATCCAAAGAATCTTGCAAACTATGAGTTCAAATGGACATGTAGTTTCTATATAATTCTTCACCTGCTTCCGATAGTTTCTTCCCTTGCTATTCTTGTAATATATTAATAGAAAACACTTGGGAACCATTGCTGCTTGACGAACCAAAGTATCTACATATTTTTTTTTTAAAAAAACATAACTTTGAATGAAATAAAGATAACATATGTAAACACCAATATATATGATTAGGTATATTTATGTTACATCATAACAAGAACACACCATTCACCATGATTATAAAGATAGCATGCCAAAATGGTGGTATGGCATTTGGTGGAAGCATCACCAATGGGTATAGAAGTTCATCTTTCTGAAACCACCAATAAAACCCAACTACATGAACTGTAAACAGAATAGAGACACCAGCAAGAACAGATATTTTCCTCTCACCCTGCAGGAATAAAGAGAGATAATCATTACTTGCATTTCAACAATAATAAGGTTACAAACAAGAGTAAAGAAGGAGCTGTAGGATATATATTACTTCCATAACTAACTTGATTCCACTTTTTTTTTTTCTTTTGGGGCAGTTAGTGTTATTGTTGGAGGGATGGGGTGGGTTTGTACATGGCACTTTGTGTTACCTTAAGAGCTGTTTGCTTTCGAACAATATCATTAGACTTGAACATAACAGCAGCAAGGAAAATTGTAACAAAAAACCCTGCACATTATTACATAAGACCATGAACAATATTTAGAAACACTCAAAAGTTCAATAAAATTGAAAGGAAAAAAAGTACTGCAACAAAAAGCAATACTTAGAATTCCAAAATATGCAGAAACCAAAGAATAGAAAACTAGAACACCTCCTGAACACAAGCAATCTTACTGTAGGAGAAGGAAAAAACAGAAACAAAAGCTCAGTTGGAGAGAGACCAACAGAATAACATTGGGGGAAAACAAGCCCTCCTTATTGTATTCGACATTCCATCATGTAAATGAAACAGCATTGTTCACTACAGCAAACCCATTATATATGTTTCCCACATTAAAACTCCGAGGCAAGAAACCCAATAAGCAAAACAAGAAGACAATCCTTGAGAAGAAATGGCAATCAGCACACTAGCTCAGATCTAAGCCATGAGCATGATGATGATTTCCAATATATAATGAAGTTGATATATAGTAACCAGTTTACAACCAATACATATTTGGGTTACTAAAGACTCATTGACACAAAACATCTACTCTTTGTAAAAAGATACAATTGCTTCAATTAAATAGCTAGTCCTCTACATCATAAGATCTGCAGAGAGTGTTGCATCAACAGCATCTTAAATAGTGTATGAGTGTGACATGAAATCAATAACAAGGTTTGGCAAAAGTCTAAATAGCCCAATTAATACACAAAGGCAAGAAGAAGATAATACCTTGCAAGTGCTGTCGAATGAAAACAACCAAAAGCAGCAAGGAGAAAGGAAGAACTTGTTCAATCCACCGAGCAGCTTGCTGTATATCATATCTTTGGTAAGAAGAATCCCTGTTGGAAGCACCAGCTCCATCACTAGCGCCCATTTCGGGGCTGCCATTTGTAGCTTGATTGAACCCCTCTCCTCCTCTATCACTTCTCAAGTCAGTCTGACTCTCAAAAGCTGATGCCATGGAAGATGCAGAACCTGACCTTGAAATTGGCTGCACAAAGACCTCATTTTGCCCACTTAGCTCCCTTAATGGTCCAACAGTCGGTGTAGACAAAACTGTCCCAACCCTATCCTGCTCTTGCTCACCTGCACCAATGATCCGAATTGAGACCTCCTCTGCATTACCAAGATGGGTGGTGGATGCTACAGAATCATCAGGTCTTGACTGAAAATGTTCTCGATATCCGACAGATGCTCCATGATTAATCAAACTATCTGTCTCTGATTGACTGGACCTTGTTCTTAAGAGACCAGCGTATTCCAACAAGCTAGACACTGGGGATCGAAACAAATTAGAGGCTGAAAACTGCATTCCATATCTCCTAGAATGAGCACTAGTACTAGTGGAAGATGAAATCCCTCTTTGAGCGTCCGAGTTTCCACCGGACGCGTCCATCCTTGAGGATGACCCAACTCTAAACCTAACCCTGAACAATAATGCATTTTCATTCGTTCGTTCAGCAAACCAATTATTTAAAAAGAAGTAGAAGCAGCAGCCAGGAAAAAAATGATATATTCCATACAAGAGAGTCCATCGTCTCTATTAAATTTTTTAAAAATAAAAAATAAAAATAAAAATAAATAAATAAAAAGAATGTTAAATATGAGAAAACCTGCGAGATCGAAAATCCGTCGAAGACCCCTTGCGATGATGATGACGACGACAAAGACGATGACGACTCCCTTCGAAAAATCAAAACCCTAAAACGAATCCATGAAGGGGAGGCGAAATGTCAAACGGAAGAAAATGACCATAGCAATCGGATCCTGCACCGCGTAAATCAATCCCGAGTCAAAACAAAACACGAATCGATACCATACACAAAATTAATTCATTCATTCACGCATACACATACTCATACGGCGGGCGGAGAATAGCCAAGGCCGGAGACGGAAGGCAGAAGCGGCGGTGGACGTGATCGGCGAGCGGCGAAACCGTGAAAGGGAATGGGGAAAATTGTGTACGGATTGTTTGCGTTTATGCAGTGCGGTTTCCCTTTCTTGGTTTCTGGCTACCTCCGTGGGAGAGAGCGAGGAAAACAAAGAGGAGGGAAGGGAGAGGGAGAGGGAGAGGGAGAGGGAGAGGGAGATGGAGGCGGAGAGAGAAAGCCAATACGACCGTGACATCTATCTTTTGCTACTCTTTTTCAATGCCACTCTTATTTTCCTACTCTCCCTTTTTCTATTTTTTCTTTTATTTTTTGTATGGTAGACTTTTTTTTTTTTTTTTTTTTCTAAATACTACTAACTCTATTATAAAGTAGTACTCCGTATTTGTTATATATTTTTTTTTTTTTTACAATTCAAAGAATTAATATTCTAAATATAGACAGCATCAGGGTTTAATCTTATGACATTCTATCAACTACAAAAATATCATATGAGAACAAGGTATTTGCGTATGACAGACTAAATGCTCGTGTGTTATTATACACTTTTATAATAATAATTTTTATACATCAACCTCGTGCTTGCTTACCATCATCCAACCTTCATACCCAAATTTAAATAATTATATATAAAAATATCCCTTTCAAAAAGATATAAAAAATATCAAACGTTATAATTTATGGATAATAGGTCAATTTGTAGTTATGTTTTTGGTGAGGCACATGAGTTAGCCCGGGAAGAATCATCACTTATGAAATCAAATTCATATTATTTCAAAATTATTTTTTACAAAGAGAATTTATTTGTCACTTGAACTACCCTGTTAGGTTGTAATTTTTGTTCAGTCTGTATGGTAATCTAAATAAATAAAAACATAATAAGCGTGGATGAAGGTTATATCCTTCATTTATGTCCGTTTTTTCCATTAAGTTTTATGATACATTATGCTATAAATGTTGTACTATACAATATTTTGAACAAACGTACACATACCGTTATAACTTCTGTTATCTTTTCCACTATTGCTACCATGCACATGCATCCACCATATATTTTCTTATTTTCAATAATAATAATAATAATAATAATAATAATAATAATAATAATAATAACAATATACCACATTATATATTGAGGTTATATGTTAGTTATTTCTTAAAATATAAATATTAAATTTATAGAAATGTTTTAAACATCATTATTATTATTATTATTATTATTATTATTATTATTATTATTATTTACAATAATTTAAATATCTAAAATCTAAATAAATTTAAAATTTTAATATAAAATATTAATATTTGGCACATATTTTTTTGCGCATAGCGCATAAGAAATACTAGTAAAAGTATATATAATGTACTTCAGCAATTGATTTGTGAAATTGAAAATGCAGGTAAATAACTATTTTATGCTAAAAAATCATGCAACTAAAATAATTAACCAGTTGAAAGCATTTGTTATTGCTTATTTGTAAGGTTGATATAGTATTACTAAAATTTTTCTCATCATACATTGTTAACGTGACACATTTATCTTTTAAGTTATGGCAAAAAAAAGAAAGGAAAAACAAAATTAAATGTCTTCTTGTCAATAAAGGAGACAACAACCATAACGATAAATCAAAAATGAATATAACCATCAAATTTGGATGCAAGTGGCAAGTGGGGCAACAACGAAGTGTAAAATAGACATTTGAATTCCATGCATAAATATGTTTTAAACTTGTCAATTATCAATTATTTACCTATTATATTCCATGATTTTATTTTTTTTCTAATATGTTTGTTTTGGATTCCTCTTTTGTTTGGTTTTGTATTTTTTTTTTTTTTTAAAAAAATTTTGCCTCCCTTTGTACTAAATCAATGAAAATGTATGAGATGTGGCTTAGTTGATTAATTAAACAATGTGAAATTTGTAGTAAAATGACTAAATCACAATAAAAATATAACAATAATTTTTAATACTAAATTCTAGAGCGGTCAAAACAAGAATGCCATTTAACCCGCATTTGAGAAGAGTTGGGTTAGAAAATTATAACCCGTCTAGAAATACAGGTTATACGAGTTGGTCCATGAATTATACGTGATAACAAACGACTCATAGATAAGCCTATTAAAGGCTAAAGATGGTAGGGTTGACAAGTTGACAACCGACCAAGTGAGAGGAGTTGAACAGCATTTGAATAAGTGGATCCTTTATCCTTAACATTCAAATTAATGAACACATCTAAAATTTAGAATGTTAGTTGTTTGTTGATAACAATAAATAAATTAGAATATTGGTCGGGTTGATGGGCCAGAAATAATGGGCCTTAATTGTACTTGTTCAGAATTGGGCTGGGTAGTAAGAAAAGTGCTAAGAGTCCAAATCCAATGAATCTCGGCCTTTCCGGGCCCACTTAGAATTGATGCTGAAAGAGAAAGAAAATAATGCGTTCAACGGCATCCCTGTCCCCCTCACCTAACCCCTTTTTTAATTAGGGTTTAAACTTTTATAAGCATTGGAAAACCTCCAAAAAAAATTACGGCGTCGTTTTTTCTGATGGTCACTTCTTCGTATTTGCTTCTTCTACGCTAACTTTGATGTTTACTCCATTTTGCGTAGCTGATAGAGATCGTGAGTTCTCACATTTTCATCTTTTCTGCGATTTCTTTTTGTTGATCGTGCTGTTTTTTTCCAACTTTTTGTTGTTTTTTTTGGTTGTGTTTTGCCAGTTTAGAGAAGGAAAGATCGCGGCTTGTTGTGTTGGATCGCCGGAGTTGTTAAGATGGCGGCGATGTCGCAGCTTCATTTCTATACTACTGCTGGCTTGAATCGGACGCAGAACTCTCGTTTGAGCCCTCCGAGTCGGCATCTTTTTTCTGGTCATGGTTCAGTGTTTTCCGGTGATTATACGGTTTCCATTTCTTCGAAGAAATGGGAGTCGGATTCGCTTCTGAAGTTGCCTTCCCTTTGTGCCGGCGGCGGCGGGAGCGGCGTGGGACGAGGTGGCGGCGGCGGCGGAGGAGGAGATGGGGATTGGAATGCAGGTGGTGATTCCGGATCTTCCGGGGACAGTTTCGGTCCGATCGGAGCTTTTCTCAGTGGGTGGAGATCTAGGGTTGCTGCGGATCCGCAGTTCCCTTTCAAGGTTCTTATGGAGGAGTTGGTGGGCGTTTCCGCCTGCGTCCTCGGCGACATGGCTTCCCGGCCTAACTTCGGCCTCAACGAGCTCGATTTCGTCTTCTCGACTCTGGTCGTCGGCTCCATTTTGAACTTCGTGCTCATGTATCTCTTGGCGCCAACCGCTTCCTCTGTAAGCCAGGGTTTACCTTCCATTTTCGCGAGCTGTCCCACAAGCCACATGTTTGAGCCCGGTCCTTACGGTCTGATCAGCAGGCTTGGCACTTTCGTGTACAAGGGCACTCTGTTTGCTGCGGTTGGATTCGCCGCAGGGCTGGTGGGAACCGCCCTCTCGAATGGACTGATCAAGATCAGGAAGAAGATGGATCCAAGTTTCGAAACACCAAACAAGGCTCCACCCACCATCCTGAATGCAGCTACCTGGGCAATCCACATGGGTGTTAGCAGTAATCTGCGCTACCAAACGCTGAACGGGATCGAGTTCTTGCTGGACAAGACGGTTTCTCCCTTCGTGTTCAAGAGCTCGGTTATCGTGTTGCGATGCCTGAATAATGTCCTCGGGGGAGTGTCGTTCGTGGTGTTGGCAAGAATGACAGGCGCTCAGAGCGTAGCTGCAGTAGAAGAAGATGAATTGGCTGCAGAAAGAGTGAAGTTGGTGAATCAAAGTGAGAATTTGCAGAATGAGTCTGCTGTCTCTAAGTGATTTGGGTTGTAAGCTATATTGTCTAGTTTGTTTTCCTCTTTCTTATCCTTTGAGCTCTGAATAAAATGGAAACAAATTCTGTTGCTTTCAAGGGACAACTAGTTTAACCCTTTCTGGTAATGCAGGGAACCAACATCTCTCTACTTCTAATGCCTTCACTTTCATTCCTCTTATTGCATTTGTCCAATATTGTTTTGGAACGTTTTAGCTAACAAAAGTTTGTTTTAAGACTGTCTAAGATTCACATCTTAAACATATAACTTTTCAGCAATATAATATTTGAGACAGGAGTTAATATCCCAAAAGTTATCGACTATAATGGTTTTTCTCAATTTCGCTGTTTTTCTCAATTTCGTTTTCGTTCTAAGCGACTCACCAAATGTATTCCCAAACTTTTATGTTTTTGTTCAATTTAGTTCTCTGTTTGTTATTTCGTAATCTCAATAGTGGCTTCTCTTTACTCACCTGCGAAGTGCGAAAGAGGGATGTTGCACACCAAATGGACGGGATAGGGATGTTGCACACCAAATGGACCGGATAACTACATTGAGCAAAAACAGCAAAAACACATGGACAGGATAACTACTACATTGAGCAAAAACAGCAAAGAGGGATGTTGCACACCAAATGGACGGGATAACTACATTGAGCAAAAACAGCAAAACACATGGACAGGATAACTACTACATTGAGCAAAAACAGCAAAAACACATGGATGGGGTAACTACATTGAGCAAAAACAGCAAAAACACATGGACGGGATAACTACATTGAGCAAAAACACATGGACGGGATAACTACATTGAGCGAGCAAAAACACATGGACGGGATAACTACATTGAGCAAAAACACAAAAGTACAGGACTACATTAGGTCACCAAAGTCGTCCTAATGAGAAAACCATTATAGTCAATGATCATTTTGGATATTAACTCTATGAGACAGTCTTGTACTACACCTAACTATTTAGCAATACATACATATTTCAGTGATGATGAATAAGTTGCGTGAGACTAAAAAAATACAAAAATGAGAAAACCATTATAGTCCAGGATCATTTTGGATATTAATCTATGAGATAGTCTTGTACAACACATACTCTGTACTAATTTTAACTAAAAAGTATTACACTGAAACGGTCTCACAAAAAAATTGCAATTTCAATGATATGAGAATAACTAGATAAAAAAAATCAAAGAAAAACTCCTAATATTTGATGAGAAGGCTGAAAGTGTGCACTGCATACCATTAAAACTTGAGTGACTAACTCTGTGCAATTGAAATTTATGACTAAAAGTGAGATAAATAAAATAAAATTAACTCCCACAAAAAATTATGGTAAACTATCTTTGATTTGAATATCTGAAACATGAGAGTATGACAATGGTCACAAAACAATACTTGATGCCACCAAAAATATGGAGGATAACAGAAAATATCAACTGAGAAATTTTTGTTGACTGCCTCCAAAAGATTTAAAGATTTAATCTGGAAATAATATACAACTTTGTCTGCACCTAATGATGTACATTTCTGTTACAATGGGACCTTTGAAAACCATTGGATAATCATGTATATAATCTCAGAATTCCCATGCCACTTGGACTATGAAATGCCATACAATTGTTGCAGAGCTGCAAGATGATTGATCCAACCATAGACAATTAATACCTCGGGTACCAGAACATACCTTTGATGCCCTCAGGGTCAGGTTCAAAACCTAGATTCTGATAAAATTCAACAACTGCAATCACAACGCAAGGAAATATACGGATTAGCAACATAAGGCAGTTCTCTGTATAGTCCATAATATTTGTGCCCTATCAAGAGATGTGTCACTTTTTTTTTTTTTTTTTTTTTTTTAAATTCCTAATCTTTCATTTACAAACAAAAATTCTCTGATCATTTAGTCCCAGTACCTTGACTATCAGCAAACAATGAAATATTTCCAATGTCCCTTTGCAAAAGTGTCCTTATGAGCTTTTCAATAAGTGCTTTCCCAAGCCCTTGGCCCTACATCAGAAGATCCATGAATACTATGAGGATAACGAAAATCAACTTTAAGAATTTCAAATGCTCCAACAATATTCTAAGGTTTATGAGAAGGGCTAACTTGATAGGAAGGATCTACTAGAACATCCCAAATAGTAGCATTGAAAGCATGATCTGATGTTGCACGAGCCATACCAATCAGCTTCTTTTGGACATTCACCTCTGCCAAGTAACTAACCCAAGTACATTATGCCGTTTGTCACTTTCTTTAGAAAGATAAAGGAAAAACTTAGTAAAAAAAAAAAAGATTGAAACATGAAAAGGATTTTAAAAATGTGCAAAAACTTTCAAGTGCCTTCTATCTTTGCCATCAAGCTCACGGATAAAATTAATAAAATGTCTTTGTTTAAACATTAGCTATCCACCTCTTTTTATTCTAACCTTCTATTAGCTCTAATTCATAAAAAGAAACACATGCAATAGTTCAGACATGCAAATATTGTTGTTTTAAAAAATACCTTCTTCAGATGATACTATTCTAGAATGCAAAGTTGCTACAATGTAGCTATTCTTTAGAGCTGCAGCAAGCTTAGTCAGTGGCCTTCGAGGCCAACCAACCTGTTGAATGAAAAAAAAAACACAGATTAATTCCAGGAGGCCATTGATATTGCTATATGCTTTTCAAATTAAACATCTCGAGAATGCAAAGTTGCAGCAAAGTTTAACACAGTACTGGACCAACCCATGAGCACATTACACACAACCTGTTGGATTAATGGAATGAACACAGATGAATTTAAGAATAATAGTATTCCACATGGAATGAAATAAAGGAAATAGAACAGGACTACTATTCCCTAAGGACATGGACAAACATAATCACCTTATCACATAAGGCCTGAAGATCATATATGTCCACATCTCCTCCTGAAGAAAAGACGATTTGTTCAACTGCTCCATCAGATAGTGGCTTTTCAACTAGAACAAATTCTTCAGGCAATGGATCTTCCTCTTCTTGGATGGAAGATGGGGGTTCAACAATCTGCAAACTATTATCCTTTGCAAACCTGAAACATTTGAAGTTATTATAGCAACAATTTCATACTTAATGAAGGTGAGACCAAAATTTTGGTCAAACTCCTCTCTTGTTATAACCAAACATTGGGCCCTCTCATTTCTTTTGGTCAACTTAAGCCTACTTTCAATTTCTTCAACTAAAACCTGCTAACACAATTCACTAGGAGAACTTACCCCAAACAAGCCAATTTCATAGACTAAAATATACTCTAGAGCAAAATCTATAGCTTGAAAGTACTAACTAACGAAATTATATTAAAGCATTCCAGCCGATTTAGTACTAAAGTCCATAGCTTGATAGTACTAAAATGCACTCAGGATCAGGCACGAATAAATTTTGCATAAACAAACTACGAGTTGGTCTATAAAAGCACATGAGTAGACATGCTGGAATTTTTTCATCAGTCAGACAATAGTAAGGTGTAGTGTACCCGGATCTAATTGCATCCCAGAAGCCACCAGCCCTCAACCGAGAGACCTTGACATTCCTGCTACCTGTAAAAATGGTAGAAGCCAATGACTTAAGCTAAGTAGAGAGTGTTCCTTTTTTTCTCTTTGTTCCATGAAATATCAGCAAGTATATCTCGTATTCATCATTTATATAAGTTGCTTGAATGTAAACTGCAGATTGACTTCTGAGTAAAAAGCATTCTAATAAAGAAAACTCTAAGAACCAGAAAAGCATACCTAACAAGAAGAGTTTAACTTGTAATCAAACCAAGGCAGTAGAATTAAAAGATTTAGAGATATATAATCTTCAATTGACACTGTATTTAAAATGAACTTATCCAAACCAGCACCCAACTAACATTTACTTATACAAACCGGCATATTTTCTTAATCTTTTCAATTTCTGCTAGCACAATTAAGTTCTATATTTAAATCAATGGAAGAGCCAAAGCAACCAACCTCTGACAAACTCAGAGTTGAGTTTGCAAGGAAATGAAATCTCGTTTCGTACTTGAAAACGGGAGCAAGCGATAGAAACACCAGAATATCTGCAGCAACACAATAATCAAAGCATCAAATGCAAGAGCTAAAGGGGAAGGGGCAAAGCTGAAAATCCAAAGTATAAACCACTGAGTTGAGAATCAGAAAGTGGTAAACCCTACAAGGAAGACGAATACGAAGACGAAGAAGAAGTTGTCATAGAGGAAAGCAGAGCTCCGGTTTCCATCTCTTTTGAGTTTTCGGAGCCTTTTCCAGTAAATCTGATATCAAGATTTTGCGATCTTCAACGGAAGAACAGATGAATGGTCGATATTCTGCAATGATCTCCGGTTTGAAATCGGTCGGGTTACTACAAGCCCAGTCTTCAAATTTGGGCCATTTCAAAATAGCTTCTGGGCTTATGAAAGGGCTCTTTTGGGCTCTTATAAGAGCCCATTCTTTTGAGTTCAAATGCTTTTGTGCTTTTTTAATTTACGGAATATTTATTTTTTGAATGATGAGGAAAATTGGCAACTTTATCATAAGTGTACACGAGATAAACATTGTTCATGTGTAATTCACAGTATGTTTGGTTCACATAATGAATTTGAGGGAATAGGAATGCTATTTCACATTGAATGGAATAGGTAAGGAATAGAATAGGAATTGTATTTTATTGTTTGGTTGGCTGAAGGAATAGACTTTATAATTTTATTTCAGTGTTTGGTTGGTTAAATGAATAGAAATGGAATAGGTTTTAAAGACATAAATACCCTTATACAAAATAATAATAATAATAATAATAATAATAATAATGAATATGATTATGATATACTGAATGTTATATACATACATATATATATATATATATATATATATATATATATATTTATTTATTTATTTATATTTATATACATGTATATGCATATCTGTGTAAGAGAGAGAATAACAACAACATCGATTGGAGAAGTGAAGAATGGAGCCTTGAGGCTCCTATAAAAGGAGCATCAAGGCTCCATAATTTCAATTGCAATGCTCATCCGCTAGGCAAACTTGCAATGCCCATCCGCTAAGCATGCAGATGGATAGGCTACTTAATTTAGGAGCTAAGGCTCCATAATTAAGGAGTCTGACACAGTTAATTATATATATATATATATATATATATATATATATATATATATATATATATATATATTTATTGATAGATTGATAGATAAAAATTAATTAAATATATATAAATATATATAATACATTATATTTATTAAATAAATATAAATATGTTATAACGTGCAAAGAGTATTTTTGATATTTGTGACATAGGAATATATAGCTAATACCAAGTCTCCGCCCCCCCCCCCCCCCCCCTCCCCCTTCCCCTCTAGGAATGACTATTCCCCTTGCGGAGGTAATAGCTCATTTCTAGAAATGTTACTCCCATGACAAAATGATCCAACCAAACGTTCAGTGTATACGAGATAAACATTGTTCATGTGTAACTCATGATTTACTGGTACGAGAATTATACTTCATCAACTTAGCCATCCCTTTTCATATGATTTTTTAAAAAAAACACTATTAACTCTATTACAAAGTAGTATCTATTATATACTTTCTCTATCTGTTGCAGTTCAAAGAGTCAATATCTCACCACCTCGTTTCTATTCTATACTTTCTTTATATGTTGCAGTCCAATGAGTCAATATCCACCACCGGAGTTCGATCTTGTAATCTTCCCTCAATGAGTCACAGAGGTGTTATATGAGTATATGGTATTTCGCATCTTATCACTAATTTTAATTATTCTTGATTTTAATGATACAATAATTATTCATAATTATCTAACTATACTAATTATATCCAAATAAAGGTAAGTCCCAAATTAAAATATGATCTTGTAATTATTTCACACATTTTGCAATCCTTTTAGATCGTATCACTTTGCTTGTCACCTGTCGTTGTTGTTATGGCTACCACCACCATTGTTGACCATCACCATCTTCCATTGCTAACGCTACACCACCTCTTCTCTAATTCATTCATCATCATTGTGGTTCATCCATTGATATCTTTATATATGGGAAAAACTCCAAAAAGTATAACTTTATGATTAAAAAGCAATTTTTAATGATTGGTTTTGCATATTGGATGCTCTTGAAATTGATATTCATTCGCTTAATTCAGTTAATTTAGTACTCTGTACATTTTAATTTTTTAAAAATCGATAACTGATTATTTTTTAAAATTTGAAATTGTTCGCCGAAATTGATATAATTACGTTATCAACTAAAATTGTTTAATTAATTTAAAAAATTAATACAAGGACAGATGTATTGTTTAAGCACTTTTAGTTGAGAGGGACAAATTAAGTTCATTTTATACGCTTTCAAAAAAAAAAAGTTCATTTTATACTTGCATTTATCACTTATAAATAATCACTTCCCGATATAATAGTTAGGGTGACATTTTACCATATAGATAAACATTTATTTATATGATAATTATATAAGTGTTTAGTATTTTTGGGGAGGATAAATGAAAAACTGAAAATAACCCAAAAGAAAAAGTGAGAGTCATTAGTGATGGAGGGTGGTTTGGACTTTGACTAGCAGTCGGCCACCCAAATAAATGGGCATTGGAGCTTTCGTTACAGATCAGCCGACACAAAAGCTCCTCAGGAAAAGATTATAATATTTCTTATCCTTTCAATTTACTCAACATGTGTGTCTATTAAACACAATGCTTGTATGTTGGTACCGATCTGATTTATGGATTATTTTATTATTTATAAGTGTGATTTAATTAGTGCATTGTATCTAATAATAACACTAAAGTTTATTCCCGAACAATATTTTGGATCTAGTTAGGATTCTCTAGACTAGAGTTTATGTCTTTGGACTCTTCAAGTTGGCGGGAGAGTGGAGATGGATTCTTTGTGCACAAAGTCAATGACATAGAATAATTGTGAGGTTGTTTAGACGACTTGTGATTTAAATCATTCACCGACTTTTGAACAAGGGTTATGGGGCATAAAGTTAATAAAACACAAGTTGGGAAACTTGATGTATAAAAAATATTACTAGATTATAATTTTTTAATTTTAAAAAAATTATTACAATACTCAATATAATAAACAAAAAATTATTCATTCTTGATTCCATCAGGGTGAGAATCGAGTTTCTCCATCAAATTTAAATTAAATTACTATTCTAAATCAAATAAGTACTTCTCACAAAAAATTAAACTTGAAATTTTGTATTTATTAGATTAACTGCTTGGTCAATTAAGGTGCGTTTGAAAATTCGAAAATAATGTCTGAAAATTATTTTTTGCGTTTCCTGGGGTTGGCTAGAAGGTGAAAATGGGAGTCAATGAAAAATATAAGGGATTTTCAGGAAAATGACTTCCTTTTTTTTTTTAGAAAGTTATTTTCCGTTTGCAGTGAAGCAGTCAATCACCCGCCGTTGTTGCCAACACCACCACCATTGTATATTTTAAATATCTAAAATTAAAAATAATTATATTCATTTTTCAAAAAATAACCAAACACACAAAGATAATTTTCTGAAATGCAACTAAACACGACAAAAAAATATTTTCCAAAAATAACTCCTTTTCCAAAATTTTTTTTTTAAAAAACTCATTTCCCTGCTCTCTAAACTCACCCTTAAGTTAAGTTGGGATTTCACGTTTTGAAAGATGAATATTAAGCTAGGTTAAAAAAAAAAAAAAAAAAAAAGAACACAAAAGCTGCAGCGATTGTTTGTTTATCAGTCAGTCTAATAATTGCATTCTTTCTCGCATTTCGGGACAAGTCCACAGCCCCCACACTCCTGACTCCTGACTCCACATTTCCTTTACCTTTTCTTTTTTCTGCTTATTGCTCATCTGTCAATCGCATCCGGCCACGCCCCCCATTTCTATTTTGCACTAACCATTGAGTTAAGCCCCGCGCAAAGCATGTAAAAATATAATATGTGGCATGCTCACACGTAATATTGTAGCATTAATATTACTCCGTAATATACAAGTGTTGATGTATCATGTACCACTGTATATATTAATATTATCCACACCAATATTAATTGTATTTAGACTTGTTCTTATTTTGAAAACTACAAGATTTTGAATTTGAATCCTATAAAAATTTTTTATTAACTTTTTTTTTTTTTTAATTTGAACTGGTAAACCATGAACAACCTATATTGATTTATTTCTTAATATCTTTGTTAGGCTAAGATCACAAGGAAAGTTTGACTCATAAAGTTATAATGATGCATATTGGAGTAACAAATACAAAATTTTCCGTAAATTAATGTATATTATATATATTTGTATTTGATATTATCAACACCATAGTTACATTTGCAAGTTAAATTCAAAGACAAAAAATCAATAATTTGGAACAAATGGTAAGCCCGCAATCTAGATTGAATTCAAAATAATCTTGCAAGATACCAAATGACATATTAAAAAAAAAAAAAAAAAAGACAGGAAATTCAACAACTAATAGTAGCTCAAGAATTTATAGCAGCTAGCTGTAAATTGAATACGTTTTTGTAACATCTGAGGATGTTGAAAGATTCAAAATTTTGAATTCTTGCTTTGAATTTAATACCAATTAACATGAAATCGAAATAAATCTGTGGGTTATTAATTAACATGAAGAGCATGCATGGCATCAAATAATACTATTATCCTTCAATTCTGACAAGAAATTAAAAGAAAAAAACAAAACAAAGTGCTTAAAAAAAAGGGAGTTTTCGAGATTGGTGAAAGAAACATTCCAATGCTACGAGACGAAGGAAAGAAAAGCAAAAGCCGAATAAGAAAGGGGAAAAGGTAATTTGGTGAGCGTAGTAGACTAGTAGTAGTTGCAGTTTTTAGCTATGGCGACGAAACCTTCTTTGGGAGAGGATTCGGTTTAACGTCCACTTTTCTCTTCATCCTGCTTGCATTTGGGAGCAGCAGCGTTGCGGCATTCCGGTGCTGTTCCAGAGTGAAGGTGAGAGCTTCGGTCGTCGGCCGCGGCGGCGGTGGATGCGGTTCCGGCGACGGTGCAGTTCGAAGGAGAAGAAGAAGAAGCGAAATGTTGTCGCAGCAGCACTCTCCCTCCACCTCTCTCCGCCGCTCGCCGCCCACTACCTCCTCCCCCAAGCTCTCCGGCAATCCCAACACGTTCGCCACACGGTACTTCAACTTTGGAGATTTCTCTGTGACCCGCATTTATAGGAACGGATTTTTATGGGAGTATTTGATCTGAGTCTGAGATTCTAATTCGACATTGTTCTTTTGTTTCTGGAATTTGCATGCTTAAATGTCTACCACTTTTACCTATTTCCTTCACTTTTCTGTCTCCGTTTCACCATTTTTATCTCACATAATTGTTTCATTAGATCCATGGCTGAAAATATGATTATTTGTTGTTTGTGAGTTGATTTTTCGGGCAAACTTCAGCCAAATTGGTCAGACTATTGACGGGTAACTACAAGATGAACGGCTTATTGGTCTTTTTGGTCTGAGCCAGTTAGCTATATGCAATATAAGCTAGTTTAACTTGTTCTTACCTAGTTCACACTTTCGGGTAGTGGTTGGTGGTTATCCAAAAATAAATAAAAAGAGATTGATTTTTTGCATTTCCACAGCATCATCACTTAAGACTAATCTTATGTATGTGCAGTATATTTTCTGATGTTGCTGGGGATATTACTATTGTTGTTAATGGAGAGCCCTTCCTCCTTCATAAGGTAGTTTCCTATGGTATATCTATCTTAATAATGGACTTGAACATCAATTGAATATATGTTTGATTTTTTTTTTTTTTTTTTTTAAATTATGAAAGTTTCCTCTGGTATCTCAAAGTGGGAAGATCAGGAAGATGGTGGCAGAAGCCAAGAACCCGAATCTCTCAAAACTGGAACTCAATCACATACCTGGTGGACCTGAGGCGTTTGAGCTTGCTGCGAAGTTTTGTTATGGTATGAACTTTGAAATCACAGCTGCAAATGTGGCTCATCTACGATGTGCAGCAGAGTACTTGGAAATGGCTGATGATTTTCGTGAAGAGAATCTCATTGTGCGTACAGAAACCTATCTGAACGAGGTTGTGGCTCAGAGCCTTGAAAAGTCGGTGGAGGTTCTGTCTGCCTGTGAGACGTTATTGCCTATTGCAGAGGAGCTGGAGATTCCGGAGAGATGTGTTCGTGCTATTGCCAAGGTTGCTTGCCAGGAGCAACTGGTATCGGGCTTATCGCATTTAGAATGTGATGATAGTGGACCTCTGGAGCTTAAGGAAAGGTGCCTTGAATGGTGGGTTGAAGATCTCTCCATTCTCAGGATTGATTTTTACTGTAGGGTCATCACCGCCATGGGGCAGGCTGGGGTGCGTACGGATACCATTGTTGCGTCTTTGATGCATTATGCGCAGGTATTCCTAAAGGGTATTGGGAAGGCGCAAATATGGAATCCAGCCAGGGCATATCCTCGCTTGGCAGAAAACAACCAGAGAATCATTGTTGAAAATCTCGTGACTCTTTTACCTCCAGAGAAGAGCTCGTCTATTCCACTAAGTTTTCTCTTCGGGATGTTGAGGATGGCGATCATGGTGGACGCAACACTGGCATGCCGGCTTGAGCTTGAAAGGAGGATAGCCAGTAGATTAGAAATGGTCTTACTAGATGACCTGCTCATTCCTTCTACTCAGGCTGGTGATTCTCTGTTCGATGTTGATACAGTCCACCGGATCTTAGTACATTTCCTGCAACGGGTTGAGGATGAAGACAATGAAGATTGTGGATATGAATCAGAAGGAATCGGTTCTCCAAGCCATGGCTCTATATTGAAAGTTGGGCGGCTTATTGACACATATCTAGCTGAAATTGCTCCTGACCCATATTTGAGTCTCGACAAATTCATTGCTATGATAGCAGTGCTGCCTGATTATGCTCGTGTTATTGACGATGGACTTTACCGAGCTATAGATATATATTTGAAGGTGAAGTTCTAACTTCTGAAAACCTTTCACTTGAAATCTGCATACTTCAGTCAATCTTATGGTTTATTGGTATTTATATCTACAGGCTCATCCAATGCTATCTGAGCAAGAAAGCAAGAAGCTATGCAAATTCATAGACTGCCAAAAGCTATCTCAAGAAGCCTGCAACCATGCTGCACAAAATGACAGGCTCCCAGTTCAGATGGTTGTGAAAGTTCTATATTTTGAACAGCTCCGTTTGAAAAATGCACTGTCGGGAAGTTCTGGGGATGGGTTTCTATCCCAAAAGATCAGCAGTGGTGTCACAAGTGCAGCCATCTCTCCCCGAGACACCTACGCTTCTCTAAGGAGAGAGAACCGAGAATTGAAGCTCGAGATATCAAGAATGAGGGTGAGGCTCAGTGATCTAGAGAAGGAACAAGTGTTCATGAAACAAGGGATGATGGAAAAATCAGGACACGGGAGAACATTCTTAACCTCGATTTCCAAAGGCATAGGGAGGATCGGTATATTTGGCGGTCCTAATGGAGGGAAACAACACAAGGCTGGGAGGAAGTCGAGGGCACCAGAAGGAAAAACTGGTAGGAGTAGGAGATTCTCTGTTTCATAGCATAGCTGTTTTACATTTCATCAGATTATACTTTACTTCCTGTAAATGAGGCAAATAGCCTATGAATTTCAATTCCTGCAATGCCTATATATGGTGATTTCCAGAATAGTCTCATCCAATTGCAGATATCAGCAGTTAAAACACAAGAATATGAACACAACAAGAAAAATCATTCATTTATTTATCCATGATTAGAAGTGTGGCAAAATTGCAGAGTAATTATTAGCTCTTACAGTAAGTTGGGCAAAAGAGAAGCAGTCTCTATGAAATGAAACCTTCTGAGATAGAAATGTATTTCATGGCTCAATCTTGGATGATCATGCATTAATTGCAGAATAAAGCTGCTTCCTTATCTGCATAAAATATCATCAAAGAAACAAACAACTCTACTTGTAATCGCATCCTCACAATCGAGTGCATTTTTAATGCATTACCTAATAAATTGCTTTCTACTGATTTCTGGAGTGCAATCTGATATGAATATCCATACCTCAGGAAGAAGTCGTCTGAACATAACATCCAATCGAGCATTCAGTGTGTTCTCAAACACAATCTTCCCATCTTGAGACGCCAGAACAATCCCTCCAGCGCTTTCATTCCACGTCATCAGAAAACCAATCAATCCAAAGTTTCCAGTTAAGAAAACTACAACCAACCTGAAACAAGTTGCAGAAAGAGATCTTACCAAGAGGGACCATGAACATTTGCACCACTTGGAGGAGGGGGAAGATATACACTGTCAAGAGTAATGTTAGGGATGCGACGCGTTTTGTCTTTCTCAACGTACTCCCTCTTAGCTTCTTCCACCACCGATTTCACCAGTGCAACATCCATCTCCCTACACCGCAGCAACACTGATGGCTCTTGCAACTTTAGCAGACTCTAGATAGATGTTACAGAAAATGCATTCTCAGTTCTCTCAGTTCAACAACCACTATGGAAAGCAGAAATCAATCCATTTCATTAAAAACTCGTAAAATGTAGCTTGAATCTTTTCAAATCCTGAATACCTGAACAATCAACCCCTTGAGAAGTTTCTTATAGGCAATCTTGTCTTCAGACACGCGCAGGAGTTCCTTGCTAGCAGACTCTTTCATGGCATTGACAACATCGTCTTGAGCTTGGAGAAACTTGATACGAGAAGCATTTAGCTGCATAGAATACTCGCTGCAACAGTGATAGTTTTAGCCATTAAAACCCTAGGTAAACTCAAACAATGAGGAGTAGTATGTGGAACTCACATTTTCCTGCGAACTTCAACCTGCTTGGTTTTACGCTCGTACTCCTGCCTGATCTTCTTCTTTTCTGCTTCAACTAATTGCAGCTTTTCAATGTTGAATTCCTGCAACCAAAAACCAAGTTTATTCATATTCACATACGGAGAATTATTGTAAATACAAAAATCAAACAGAAACATCGATTTATACGACTAAATTCAATCACACAGACGAATTTGCAACGATCATACAGATGAAATTCACATCCCTCGCAACGATCAACGATCACATGGATTTATCTGTATATTTTTATTTTTTCACGTTGAAATCGAATGAAAATAAAAAACTAAAGAGAGAAAAGGACGAGGGAAGAAAACCTCCTCAGCAGATACAGAAATCTCATTGGCTTTTTCTTCGGCTTCTTGCCGGATGAATCTGACCATCTGCTGTATTTGCTTCGAAACATCGGCATCGTTCATTTTCGGTTCTGTTGCTGCCTACTTTGTTGATAATTTTGGTCCTGTGAAGTGGAGAAAAAAACAATTTCAGTTGGGAAGAGCAGAGCGAAATGTATAGCCGCGCGGAAATGGCTTTACATACATGCTGGAAATACAGTGGCGATCGTGTTTTGATGGTTGCAGATAACAGCGGTCGCAATCTCATCGCTGAAAATGGCGAATTTCAGGCCTAGGTAAATGCTCCGGTAAGGTACTGGCATTCCTACTACCTGCCTCCGGCATAGTCTCCTATTCAAACGCGCCAATTTTTATTTTTATTTTTTATTTTTATTTTTTATTTTTACTTTTCTCCATAAAAGAGTAAAAGATGAAAAATATATTAATTTTATCTCTATAAATCAAATTTTTTGTTCTCGTTCTCTATCTCTCTCTTTTATGAAATTTAGCTACGGCATATAACTATGTTTTCTCTTCTTTACATTTTTGGAGTTTCGCACTTCATTTGAACCGAAAAAATAATTTCAATATAGCCTTGAGATTATACTATTTTATTTACAATCTTATATTTCACGTGTAACATATTAAACAATTTCAATAAGGACAACTACAAATAAAAAGATCTAATACACATGTACTCAGGATTTCGTAAAAAACTACAATCCAATATATACCCTCCAATCAAATTATTGTGTGTTATATAAATCATATATCAATACTAAAGATTTTTATAATCAAATGATTAATGGGCCACACGTTTAAATAAGATAGAAATTTAAATATTCAATACTAAAATTTTATAATCGTTATACCCTAAATACTAAAATTTTATAATCGTTATACCCTAAAGCACGGCGGCGCGCCTCCCAAAACGACGTCGTTTTGGGAGGCGCAGTAGGAAGTTGCTGTGATTATGTATATTTGTTCACACAATTATGTATATTTGTTCATACAATTATGTATATTTGTTCATACAGTTATGTACATTTTTTATACAATTATGTACATTATTTTTATATAATTATGTACATCCGAATCAGAAAATTTGTGCGTATTATGTTAAGAGTTGATGTGTATTATGTTAAAAGTTTATGTTTATTATGTATTATGTTAGATTATGTGTATTATCTTTTAAAAAGAGTATGTATATTTTGTTATATAATTATGTACATTCATGTATACGATTATGTGTATTCTAGTATAACATTATGTACATTTTTGAACAGTGTTTTTTTTTTTTAAAAAGAAAAATTAACTGCCATACACTGGGGCGAGAAATTTCAAAAAATAAAATAAAAATTAAAACGACGTCGTTTTACATCTAAGCGCACAGTGCAACGCACGCCGTAGTATAGGATATAAATTGCCAATAAATATACATAATAAAATGTCCAATATTGGGTGCTAAGATAGCCCAATAAGCCCAACTCAATAACTAACATTATTTTGTTACAATCCTTACAAACAACTATACTCAAATTTTAGATCAAAACACTTCCTTTTTGACATATCTAAAATATCTAAATACTTACTCTAACATCATATAATTTACTTAATCGGCGAACCAATTTCTACTAAAAGAAAATATATATATGCCACATATGTACAAATTGATGAGATTCTTCCGATTAAATAATACATTACATGTTCTTTAATTAAGACATATCTCGTACCTCCAAAATTAAAGAGATAAGAAATTTTTGAATTTAGAGTTTAATCTTAAAATGGCATGCCCCATTTAGTAAAACATTAGTTATCAAGGAACAAAGTACATAGGATTGGGAAGTTTAAATGTGCGATTGCCAACATGATCTCCTTGAAGGTCGCTCCATTGGTCTCCCACGTTTCCCCATATTTTGTATCCTTCTTTTACTAGCTGCTTCCTTATCTTTGATTTATATGCCACTGCGCTTAGGTTCTTATTAGCCCCCGTCCTGATATACACATTTAAATCATAACATTAATTAATGATTTAGGGCGTCTTTGGAAATCCGAAAAATAATTTCTAAAAATTATTTTTCGGGTTTTTAGTGTTCGACTAGAGGAGAAAAATGAAAGTCAATGGAAAATAAAGGTATGGTCAATGAAAAATAAATGAGATTTTTTGGAAAATGGCTTCCCCTTTTATTTGGGAAGTTATTTTCCGTTTGCAGCAGTGGAGTAGTCAATCACGCACTGCCGCCACTACCCCCACCACCATCATTGTATATTTTAAATATTTAAAATTAAAAATAATTATGCTCCATAAAATGAACCAAACACACCAAGACGATTTTCTAGAATGTAACCAAACAATGGAAAAGAAAATGCTTTCTGAAAAATACTCATTTTCCAGAAGTCATTTTCCTGTTTTGCAAATGGACCGTAATTCGGAGGAGATATGTTCTTGAGTAAAGCTCATCTTTTAATTATAACAACCTAGATTGTTCATAACTGATTAGGTTGACCAGTTTAAATAAAAAAAAAAAAAAAAAAAAAACTAATAGACAGCTCTTTCAGATAATTGAACTTAAAATTTTATAACTATCAAGTCAATTGCTTGACCAAATTAGATGAGTGACACCAATATTATGTCCAATTAAACTAATTCATCATCAATACTTTTTTCATCTAATAATTAATTGTACCTTAATATTAGGCGTTCATAGCCAATGAATCCTTGGTTACGCAGATTTTTGATAGTAGCACGTTCATAGGCATCTTCACTTCTACCCGTGAGGAGAAAAACCTTAAAGCCACTTTTGACCAACTTTTTGAATAGGCTCAACACTGATGGAATGGCTGGGCACTCTCCTTTTGTTGCCCATGCCTTAAACCCTGCAGGGTCATATGGGTCACACCTACATACACATAATCATTCACCATACAATTATAAACATTTTAAATATAAATCTCAACTACTTTTAGTTAAATATAATAACTCAAAGTTTGAATTAATATACATAATGAAAAATCGAGTGGCTGAATCATAATTCTGGTTAAAAATATGAAATTTCTTATCTTAAAAATTCTCCACACTCGACCCAACAAGATGGTGGGGAGATAAGGTATCGTGACGATTTAGTGGTCTCTTAGGTGAAGACCAATGTCTAGTGTTAATATGATGGTGGATGTGTAATCAAGTTAACTCAGTGACTTTTTAGGTAAGAGGACTAGTGCCCCAAAAAAGCTCACTATATTGGGTGAAATTCCCATATGGGTGACTGCCAGGTCTCTATTTGCATCCTGACATACAATTTCATCGAGTACCAACTGAGCAGTCTGTGGGCAGACATAAAACATGATTCTCATCCTTGAAGTACTATAATTATTATATCGGTTAATACCGTTTGAAGTCCTCCGAGTATAGTGGTTTTGCCACGTTTAGTCCTAAACTTTCAAATTGACCATCTGTGGTCTTTCGACTTTCAAATTTAACCAATTGTGGTCCAAGTTAACCACTCATGGTCCTTCAAGTTTCAAAACTTAACCAGTTGTGATCCTCTTGAAAGGACCATGGTTGGTTAAAATTTAATAGTTGAAGGACCATGGGTGGTTAACTTGGACCACAAATGGTTAAATTTGAAAATCGAAGGACCACATGTGGTCAATTTGAAAGTTTAGGACTAAATGTGGCAAAAACACTATACTCGGAGGACCTTGGATGGTATTAACTCTTATTATATTTATCAAATACCCAATACACACCATCAAATAGTGATGGTGAATTTCCCTTGGGTCATAAAAAAAAAAAAAAAAAAAAAACAAATATATCTAATTAATAACATTGAGTTGTTATGTGATAGATATGATACCCGAAGCGTTTTGTTTGGTAGTAAATGAGATTGGAGATGCAGGTGTCGTCGACGTCGAGGATCCAGGCGTCGAGTCCGTCGCCGGAGAGGGAAACCTCGTTATCCACGAAGCTAAATATGGCGTCGACGGTGAAGCTGAGGTCGCGCTCGTACTGCCCGCCGGTCATGTAGCTCTCGATGTGGCGGAGGCACTCCTTGGGCACCGTGCGCCATGCACGCACATTGTTCGCCTCCACCGCCAGCCTCCAGCTCTGGCAATACGGCCCGTCGCCGCCGTCCTCCGCCAGCTGCGCCGCCGCCCTCCACTCCCTACTACTACCGCTAACTGTTTTTGAGCACAGGGCTAAAAACACCACCACAATTATCTCCCTAATCCTTTGCATCATCTCGCAAATCATAAGACCTGTGAAGATTAAGGAATGGGAATAGAGACAAATAGAATAGATTATCTTATAACAGAATATAATGAAGGAAATGATGAACATTGGTAGTAATATGCACTTGTATATATATAAGCAGCTTGGAGGCCCTACCTTATACCACCTTTTTGTCTTTTACTTTGTCAATATATAGTAAAAGGGAAATTAATTAAAAGGGAGAAAATTTGAATATCGAGTTGTAGCCTTCTCAATTTGAGTATATCAATTATAAGTAAATTAAGTTTTCGAGTACCGTAGACCAAATAATAAATAAAAGTCAAATTCGATTGGAAAAACTGCTAGCTCGATCAGCACGCAAGTTCATAGAATTTGTAGAATTCTGCAAATTTATTATATTATATATTCATTTTCAATATGTAATATAAAGTTTAGTGCAATAATATATGGCGTAAATAATTAGGAGGAGCACCGAAAGATGAAGACAATGGTGGTTGGAAGTAAAGTACACACTGCCTTCCTCTCAGGGGTACGCATGGAATGGCAATTATATTAGATTCATTTAGTAAACTCCACAACCTATATTATAATCTAAAATACGAACATATAATATATAAAATATAAATATTTTTTAATTTGATATCAGAAAGTCACAAAAATATCATTAAATTACAAAGTACTTGGCAGTTAAATTAATTCATTAGTTGCTTAATTTTAATTGATATTTGTCGGCCAATCCCTATTTCAAATTTCGATGTATATCTGAAATTAAAAGTAAATTTCTTAACTTTTTCTTCAATGCCCCCAAAGAATAGAAGTAAATTTCTGTTATACCAGTGATCTTTGTTTACATTTTCTTGGAGTTGTTTGAGAGATTATGCAATGAAATTGATACTTTTTGGTAAGGCACATATTTTTGTTTAATACTCCGTAGTTTTTATTATTCTCCTTGCATATTTTTAAAGAAGCAAATTTTCTTTAATTTATATAAATTTGTGGATGTTAAATGTAAATTTGTGGAAGAAAAATAGCATTCCACGGGTGGTAGTGGGAGCAGCGTCAGATATCATAAACACGCACAAAGTGGATTATTATTTCATGGACCATTATCCACACATTTGTA